ATAAATTCCAACCTCAATCTGTGACCTTTATTGAAAAAAAATGCCATTGTCTCAAAAAACATAGGCACGGCACTAGCCTATACTTATACCTAGACATCGCTGTGACGCAAACCACGAAGCTATTTACCAACTAAAATGCTTATAACTTTAACGGCTATAACAGTCTGCGATAAAAATAATAAATGCCAGATATTCGAGGCGCGCCCCTTCACGGCGATACATTACGCTTGAGTTATGGAAAAGGGCGACTCAACTGAATTATGAAGACAATTTCAAACAATCGCAGGCCACTAATGTGGTATTAAAGGCGGGCCCAGTGGGCAGACCTCTTCATCCGCTGACCTATTGCTATCGCTAAGAGACACTCATATTTGAGCACTCTCGCTAATCCTGGACCGACAGTGAGCGTTTCTGGTGAACACAAAAATGCAATTACTGAATGCGAGAGAGTATAGTAGTGGAGCTTATAGTGTATGAATGTAATACCCGAAGCTTGCGTTCGTTTTGGGGAAAAGTAAATGTGTATAAATCTGAATAGGTAATGGAAAAACTTAATGTTTGCTATGTATACTGCTATGTATGTATATGCTATAACTTGTAGTACCTAGTTGCAAACAATTTTTTTGAAGTTCTTTGTTAGTACTCACAATTCATTTCAGTTACAGTAAGACTAGTATTCAAAAATGGTTAAGCATTAAAACACATAACTATAAAAAAAGTAAAAAGGAATATTGTATAATACAATATTGAATTCATTTAATAATTTAATAAGTTATCAAGAATAAAAACGCTTCCATGATTCGTTCATTGATTGGATATTGATCAATATTTTAATATAAACAGAGTAGCTTTCACTAAACAAGAGTTGATTAGCAAAGAGCATTTCGAACGAACACTCAATTTATTAGATTGCCATCATCCATTTTAGCATTAATTGGCAAATTAAACACGTGAAATCTGGGAATAGAAATAAGTTAACGTATATTTGAGTATGAATGGTGACCAATGTATATGTACCTGGTACGTGTGAGTGGACCATGCTTCCGCAAAAATGAACGATCAGAGTAGATGACTTCACTGAAATTAGGCGTGAAATAACGCTTACGTTGTTTCTCTGTGTGATTAGGGCTGACGGAGGCTCTAGCTTTTGCTCCTTTCTCAATCTTCAATGTCAAACCTCAAGGTTGTAAGTACCGGCCAAAGTGGCGCCAATTGCGTACCTTGAGGTAGTCCGAGTGCTCATTTTCCAAATTATACTATAAAAAAGATATTATACATATACATACGACACGTATATAATATACAGTTCACATTCACATGGGAGGTTTCGATGAGAAAGGAAAAAATAGGTGGTTTTGATTACAAACTAGTTTACTTATAGACGTTGATATATTTTTTTAGAAATCAAAACTAACTCGTAAAGGACGGTACTTATTTCAAAATTAAACCTTATCATTGAAACATAATTTTTAAGATTCAAATACCTTCTTTTTTGAGTTACGCCTCTTTTCTATTAAGCATACTTATTTTGCACTAGATTAATTCACTTGTACCTACGTTATTTGCAGTGCTAACACTTTCACACAAAGCAAATACTTTTATAAGAAGTAGTAGGTATTAGTGGCCAAGTACCACTAAAACGCCTCGTAAGAGAAAAGCTCTCGAAGTAGGATCGTTACAGGTGCAAGAACTAAATGAAGTGGCATTGGATAAACATTAACTAAGTCTTTCAAGATATAGGAAAATGTGACGTGACACAAGTACAAAGAGTTGTAAATTGAGTGAAATAAAACGTACGTGACTATTTATGTAGAAGAATAGAACTAGACTCGTGACTTTGTCTTTCTTCATAGAGTTGTATATGTCAATATCTATATCTACAATATTTATAATAATGAATCGCTATTCGTCAGTCCTAATCAAACTCGCGAAGTACTGTATTGATTTGGCTAGTTAAAGCTATTCGTGAAATTTTGAACATGATAAATTAAGAGCTAATATTATAATATGATTGTAGATTTGGCTATACGGACTCCATACATGAGTTTAACTATCCCTGACAAATATATGAACTCCTTAGCACTTAGCAACCATCCCCTAAACATGGCTTCCTCATTGTGATGCTTGGGCGACCATCCTTAACAAATCGAGACGCTTTTGCAGAATGTATCTACATTTTATTAAGTTGTCGGTTCCGCTTGTCATCCTAACATCTATGAAAGTTGTTACGAAAAAGAAGTAAATCGAAAATTGAATTTGAATGATACGTAATTTTTTTCCTGATTTTTTTTTGTCTGTGACATTTTTTCTTTTTTTTTTATTAGATTATTATATGAATAGTTAAAGGCCAGTAACAATGTTTTCGTATTCAAAGTCTTGGCTAGACCAAGGTAGGTTTAAAACCTCCTTAGTACGGGTATGCCATAATACGATATTGCATAGAGCAATTTTATTAAAATTATCCTCTTTTCTACTAACCTAGCCTCAAGAAACATTTACGATTCTATAAAAGGCTTTAGTGTGAGTGTATTTTGTAACAATAAAGGGTTAGATATCAGAATTCTTATGCGTTGAAAGTTTACAATAATTCCTTAGAACTTATCAAACATTTATAGGAACAAAGATTTATTTGTTTATTCAAGCGACTGTCACGTCGTTCAGCAATGAATTTACACAGTTCCTACGGGAATATTGGATCTACAAGACGCGCTACGATCTATACCGTATCCTTTGTTCTTTCATCGTTTTGTATATGTTCATATGCAGAACTGTTTGTCTCAATTTTTTTAAAGTGAAATAAACAAAATATCTATCTGAAATTCATGTATCTACTTACATATACATGTAGTTTATCAGTGTAATGTACCCGTGAACTAATAGGTCACCCTTAAGGTCTGTGATGTGAGCTCGGTTATAAGTCGTACGTCAGGGGGCATATACTACGCGGCGGGGGTGACCTCTCTCGCTTGGCGTTCAGGCAATTATGCGAAGCGTGAGGAATTACGAAGCAGACATGCTAGTTAAAGAGGTGACAGAGCGCGAGATGAAACGATCCTCCTCACGTCCCAGCCACCGAAGGAGACGCTCAGGGTGTCGGGAATCGGGCGATGATTTTCGGCTATCGGCGAACAGAAAGCAAAGGTAGCTCGCCACTAGACCTAGACCCGAGCTTACGGTGCATCGCGTACCACGCGCGCCTTTAAGAGCCCTCAAATCATCAGATGAATAAATATAATCATCATTGCACGTTATAATGTACCGGAGCAGGAGAAAGAACTGGATGGTTTTAAGTCAGTAAGAGAATGACACTCCCTCTCTCGGGGTAGAATAAGTCAATAAATGGTTTTCCGTACCAAAAAAAGTACACATAATATATACCTACTATCATACTGACACATGGTAAGGCCAGCTTTACACGATCAACGCCACGGGATAAATTGTGGTTGATTAACCCGTTACCGCCGCAATGTGGTCTGTACTGCAGCCTGATACGATTTTGTTTTATTAATTTACTGATTTTGTGAATACTATCTGGCCTATATGTGGTTTAAAGCGTTGATTTATTGATGTGTAAAGTAATGGTGACTTTAATATAATTATCTATAATAATCGAAAAAAATGTTATGTAAAATACAAACTATAAACTATATAGCGTCGAACAAAATAGAATCAGGCAAGTCGATACAAATCAGTGCAATGGTTGAACGATGCAAGTATAAACATAGAAAAAACACAAATAGGAACATAATATTCGGAATTCGGAACTTCTTTTATTTGGAAAGTCTGTTAAGTATGGGAAAGCCAAGCTTCGGCGCGAATGGGTAAGCTCGATCGCAGTAATACCACGGTTTTACAGAAAACCTGATATCTAAAAGGCCACAAACGCACTCTTCTTCCGGTGTTATTGCTTACCATCAGGTAATCCATATCTCCGCCGCCCTATCACATAAAAAATAGACTAAAATTTTACGTTCTTTATATTTTACCCATATACCTACATATAACGTAAAAGTTTCAATTGTATAATAGAATAATATTAGGTACTGGTACATACTTCAAAAGAAAAATTGTTTTAGTTTCCTTTTTAATTTCGAGGTGAAGTCTCGATGTCTTTTTCATGATAATAAAGTAGCAATGAACTTTCCCGGGAGATTTCTTTCTTATTATCTCTTGTCATTATATTGGTATTATGAAGCTCAGGTTTATGGTGACTTGATGCTTTTCATTACATTTACGTTATTTTGAATTGTAATAAGTTGGAATAAATAAAGAATAAGCAATACCAAAATAAAATAGTTAAGAATTAAATGTAAAATCAAGAATTAAATATTTATAGTATCGCGTCACTATTTGGATTTACACCGAGAGTCATCTGACTTCCATCATTATTATGAAGCTGGAATGGACTAAAGTTAGACTTAGTTTTTACTAGCTACTCTCGTGCGGTTTCACCCGCTGCGCGGCCCCTACAGATCGTAGTGTGATATTTTATTAGTCTTAAACCTTTATCAATAAATATTTTTTTAAACACAAAAAAAAAATTCAATTCGGACCAGTTGTTCCTGAGATTAGCGCGTTCAAACAAACAAACTCTTCAGCTTTACAATATTAAAATATATAGTAATAGATTTTTCGTGGCTTATGAAACGCAGTTTTTTTTTTTTTTTTAAAAAACGTTGCCCCACAGTAGGATTTTCTCCTGTGTCGTGGGTGCGGTTACAAACATACAATTTCACATGCACATGACACCCAGACCTGGAACAACAATTTGTGGATCACACAAAGAGTTGTTCCGTACGGGAATCGAACCCGCGACACGTTGCACGGCAGCCAGTTGTCCAGCCACCGCACCAACCGTGCAGTCAAACACGTTGATACTACGACTCTTCAAAATATTAAGCCATTTCCTTAAAGGAAATGGTTTAATATTTTGAAGAGTACCTTAAGTGTTTCAAAGTCAGTGATCCTGTGACTCAATAGCTTATTGTTTTTGTTAACAGTTGGGGGAAGGGGTGGAGCTGACTTTGGGCGAGTTGCGCGCGATGGCGCTGCGCCAACAGCAGCAGATCGACACGCAACACCAGCTGCTCTGCGCCAAGGAGCAGCGGCTGCGGTACCTCAAGCAGCAGGAGGCTAGGCAACATCAGGTCAGTACCATGTCTTTTGAAATATATGGCTTATACGTAAAATATCTGACACGTTTGTAATAACTCGGGACTACTTGACCTTGGCAACTTTCTTTTACTTGGCGCCGTCGTGAAGTCGTGGTTACGATTGAGGTGTTGTGCTATACTGATAATAAAGCAAATATTATATTCTATCTTGTTATCCCGAAGAAACAAAAATGTCTCAAGTTTTATCATCAAACTTGAAGATAATACTAATTGCTGCTCGGCTCCATTTAATCGTAGCGTGATGTTTTATAGCCTATAACACTGAGGAACATTATATCTATCAGTGAAAGAATTTTGGCAATCCGACCAGTGGTTCCAAAGATTACCCCCTACATACATACTTATATTATTAGTATAGACTAGTATAGATTAAGTCTTGAAATTCTTTGCCTCTTGTTCGAACTATTCGAGTTTTAGTGTTCACTAGGCGAGATTAAACATTTATCTTCTAGTTTTTCGTCACAATTTAGTTTCTAATCGACAAAAAAAGCTATTAACTCTCATTGGTCCCAGACTCAAAATAACTCTCGATTCAGTAATAAATATAAAAACACAAGGTTCAGTTGTAACTATGTGATATCCTGTAGGACTCAGGGTATTAAGAGTAGTACTTCTTGTGAAACTTTTACGATGCCATTCCCGATAGTAATGATGTCGCCACGGGCACACACGTAAACCTTTAAGTACGTATGTATATTGTATAAGTTCGGAAACATGCGGTTATCCGCTGTTAGCTCTTATGTAATTAGTTATAAGGTTGAGATATTAGCTTCAATTTTAGTTAGTGGTGAAAATTTTTGACAATCAATTTAAAAGGTATTAAGAGTGAATGTTACTCTCAATACTCTTTAAACAAAATAAAAAAAATATAAATTACATATTAACATAATAATATTACATATTAACCTACCTTTTCATTCCTTGTTACGTCATCTAAGTACTACCCACTATTAACTTCTGGTATTCATCATCATCAGCCTATAAGTGCCCACTGATGAGCAAAGGCCTCTTCTCATACAGAGAAGGTTAGAGCATTGATCACCACGCTGGCTCAATGCGGGTTGGCAATTTCAAACTTATAATTAGAAATTATAAGTCTAGGTTTCCTCACGATGTTTACCTTCACCGTATGTCAGTGGTGTCTAAATAATCATAGAAAGTTTACTATTAACTTATATGATATAACGGGTCTCCAATGTTCGTAGGCGGCGCCGATTGCTTAGCAGCAACTGACAGATTTACTTACCTGATTGTATATCTGAAACATGTAGACTATATAGGTGAGGAAGTAGCCTCTGTAGCCGATTCAATAAGGCTCAGGGCCGTTAGTAAGTAGTTTTATTCAATTAGCAGTAGCTGCACACGTTATGTAATAATGTCCAAGGTAGGCGGGCTTCGTCTTATTAATATAAATACAAACATATACAGGTATATAATATTACACAACACATCTTCTGTGATTTTTATTATAATTACTTTGGGGTTGCGGGGTAAGCGCAATGAGGCACCGCGACCTCGGCCCAGAGCAGGAGAAGGAACAGGGGGGTTTTTAGTCAGTAAGAGTCTGACTCTCCCTCTCTCGCCCGGCCCTGGACCGGAGAAGTAATATGAAGAATTTCCCCTCACAAAAAAAAACACTGTAATATAAAAGTGACAAACTAATATGGCTATAAAATTATGACGTGGAAAATTTATACTTATATCTTATCCGCGTGAAAGGAGGCCTTTGCTTAGTATTGGGCTTTTATAGGCCAGTGATGTTGATGATGATAATTTAAGGGATTAAATAGTATTTGAGTATCAAAAAGGTCATGTATTTTTTTTATAATAAAACTAACTACCGCCCGCAGCATGGCTCGCGTGGTATGTTGATAAAAAGTAGCCTATGTCCTGTTTCGGAGTGTATTCTATGCCTGTGCCAAATCTCATTCAGAGCCGTCCAGCCGTTTCGGCGTGATTGAGTAACAAACATCCAAACATCGTAATTTTCACATTTATAATATTAGTAAGAAGCTTATAAGTGCACTTGTTATATATGATTTTATTTAGATTTATTGCGACATTGGAACTGTAAGTGAAGTATAAAGAGATTTATGCACAAAATAGACTTGTCGACGTATATACATATCTTAACGCCGAAATAAAACATTCGTCGAAAAAGAATATCTATTTCTCAACGACACTGTGATAGATTCAATTTGTTAAAGTAAGGCTCGGTTCTGGGGAAACTTAATAGTCTCAGTCTCAAGTCTCAACGGGAGTAGTTACTGAATCGTCGAGATGACATCGAGATCGGTAGTTTATTGAATAAATTACGAAATAAAAAAACATTGAAGAAGAAAACATTGAATTTATTCCAATAATTTGGTGAATTAATATCCCTTCTAAAAGGGGTTTCCAATAAAAAAAATTAGACATTTTGAGGAGTTCATTAGTTTTACATTAAATATGTTTAATCAAAAGGAAACATAATCAAAACGAAACCCACACAAAAATATTAAAAACTAAATGACTGGATTATGACACGGTTGACAATAGTTTTTACTATTTTATACAAACATACCTATAACTAGCAGCCCACGTCAGCTGGCTATATCCCGATGTTCTAGCTGGGTGAATAATGTATTTTATACTTACAAACTTTGTGTTAAAAAAAGTATTATGTAATTTTGTGCACTAATTCGACAGTTATGGGCGCATAATGTTCATTCTTATTGCCAAATTTTATACAAATATTGTTTGTATTGTTTTTGATTTTTCCTGTTAACTACACATATTTATGAACCTATACTTGAGTGTTCATAGATTTTTTTATGAATAGATAATTGTGATCTATTATTTTTGAACTTTTGTGGAACAATTCTTTTTCATGCTTCAAGACGCCCCAGAAATATCTACGAGAGATACGTTCTACCTTTAAATACTTTCGTTTGTATCTCTGTCAAACAACGACTGAAAATCATAAATCGCTTATTGTCTTTTTTATTTTCTTTCTTTTACTTTCGTGACATCGGGAATTCATGTTTCCTCTGTCACATTATTAAACATGTGCGCATGATTTATTTTGCTTTTGGATGATCATTTTTTTTACTCGCACGTAGCTCGAATTTATTATGTTTACGTTCTAAGACAAATGTGGTACAATAATTCTATTTTCTATTTAGATCCGTTTAGCTATAAATCTTTAAATACTACGTGGCATTAGTAAGGAAATTGCTATGCATTTGCTTTTTAAATCCGCCTTAATATTTCAACTCGCTCCATTAACGATACGAAAGAAGGAGTTGGATAATAATGCGAATAATAGAACGCTAATCTCAGTCAATAAGGCGCAGCTGCGTATCGACAGGGTTTGCAAATAATCCACTCAATGCAGTCCTCGACCCACTATACCGACCTCCGCGGAAAATCTTATAAAGGAATCTATTGTTTGCTTCACGTCAGATAAATTCTAATATTGAATTTTAAAAGTAGACTATAATTCTTCCCATAGACCAAAATGATTCTTATTAAATATCCTCGTAGTAGTATCAGTTTGGTCGTGAAAACCTAATAAAACTCGGTTACTTTCGTATTTGTAATATTAGTATGGAGCCTTAAATATCCGACGAAATACGCGGAATATTCAGGCCATACGCTTTCACAATTTCGAGAGAATTCTTAGAAAATTATATATAAGCTTGGCGCAATTTATGTGGTTTCTTACGCAAAGTTTTCTCGGATCTTGTATTTTATTTAGAGCTTAACTTGTTAACATGTTAACTTTTTGGTATATAATTTAGAACGTTCAATACATCAAAAATATTTCTGTTATGCATTATTCAAGAGAGGAAGAAAGGGAGGAGAAAAATTCTTTTCGAATAATTTGTTTCGAGGTCTTTGTGTGTCTTCAACCCTTATTCTACGTCATTTTAATTAAGCCAGTACTAAATTTAAATGCCTGCTTAGTATGTGAATAGTCTCCAGTGTTGTTCCTTATGAATAACAATAAAACGGGCTCAGATTTTTATTTATAACTTGGTCACGACAAAGGCCGACACGTATGAAAAGGGAAGGTGTGAATTTTTAAAAAGGGTTTTTCACAACACCGTAATATAAAACAAAGGATTTTTAATGAAGTAAGAGGAACAGGGAAAGTGAATGGAACGAAAAATCTTTGTTCTCAGTTACGAGTTTGCACGTCAAAGTTTTTCGATTGCTTTTGTATAATTCTAACTGTGTTATTTATAATTAAACTCTGGATTGTTTTTGTTCCATAATTGAGTCCGAATGTGTATCATTGGAGCTATTCAACTTACAATTATTTATTTAACTGTAGTTACATGAACGAAATTGAGGTTTCAATCCCATTGTTTTTAGTAGCATAGAGTTATTTATATAAGTAATTGATTGTTTCCGGTTGTTAAGATAGCTATGTAGTAGATACATTTGAATATTTTAAGTTTATCGGGTTCTTATATAAATACGATGGATTTGTATTGTAGGAACATATATGTAGTTCAACCATATATATATTTTTTTACTGCAACTTATCTTGTTTTGGAAATCCTACGCGTTGCCACAATTGCATTTTATTTAAAAATTTTTAATCGGGACACAAGACACGAGATACAAACAAGTCTTATGTCAGCGATCATAGTGCTAGACTCTATACTTTCCCTCCTCCCGATCCCTCCCAATCCCTAAATCTCCAAACTCTAATCCCTAAAAGGTCTGGAACGCACTCGTTACTCCTCCGTTGCGGGTGTCCATGGGCGGCGCTGATTACTCACCATCAGGTAATCCGTCTGTTCTGACAATATATAGATATACAATTTAGGAAAATTCCTACCGCAACCCCTCGACCAACGAAGCAGAGAAATAATATTGCTTATCTATTTAGCATATTTATTGCGACATTAAAGACTAAGCGAGTTATCTTGGATAAAAAGATGTCTCAGAATCTTTCCGAGAAATTGTGAAGAGCTAGGAGAGCCGAAAAAAAATTAAACGTTCCCCGTTCTTAATAAATCTTTTGGGGTGGCCGGACGCGCGTTAGCCTAATGCGATATTTATCGCCGTCTTCAAAATAAACTCTTCTCACGCAATAAGAACTGCTATAAAATAAACAGAATTATCCACCAAGCATCTATATATTCTTATCTAATTTGATATTCATTATAACACTCCCTCTGCATTTTACAAGGCATCATCATCATCGATTTATGTAGTACTTAAGTGTTATATCGCTTAATTAATCGAACATAACGTTTGAATGGGAAACTAACTGCCTCTTTAACTTAATAACTTAGTAAATCAACTGCAATATTAAAATCATTTTTCACAACTTTTCCCATCGCCCTCAACACCGCTCGTTTTAAACAATAAACTGAACTAAAACACGTTAAAAACTTACTTCCGGACCCTCACTTCATAATAAATTAACGTTTTATACAAAAGCTCAGTTTAAATAACTTTTTTTTAGTCCTTTTTATGATTTGTTAACAGGTGGCGGTCGAGGGCGAGCGGCTACGGCGGCTACGCGAGCGCGTAGAGGCGCAAGAGTTGAAGCTACGCCGGCTACGAGCGTTACGAGGACAGCTCGACAGAAACAAGCAAGCGAATATCGCATTAAGTGAGTATTTTAATATGACTCATTTTAGATTGTACTAATAAATATTGATGATCCTGACATATTACGGTTACTATCGTAAGTAATGATCTTAATAATTGGTATTTTGCAACAGATTTTCTTTCTGAAATAATTCTCTTGCAGTATTCGTTCAGGGAAAACATTTCTGATTTTCCTTATACTTAAGTCCTTTTTGTACGGGTTGTGACTCACAATCCTTACAAATGAGGCGTATGAGAAATAGGGTTGCCTTTTGGTAAGGCAACATACATAATATTTATTTCAGAAAGTCGTAAACCGGTACATTAGTAAAGGGCCGTTTTAACTGAAAAACATGGTCTTGTATTTTTTTTTTCGAGTATCGCATATATTAATATGGGACTATCTACAAAAGATTAATCTTTTAATCTACAAAGGGATAGAAAGAGGTGTACATTTGAAAATATTCAAAGGAAGAAAATATATTAAATTGCGAGTCATACAAAAAAAAAAACGCAAAGTCATAGTCATATCAATATCGACAAATATTTTTAAATTGCTTTTTCTATTTGTTTGTTCGACACTTTTATTTGCAGTTCACAGAATCGTTTCAATAACCAAAAAGGTTTTTTATGTTCCGCAAAACGTATGGACAATCGCGCGACCACTTTGTTTTATGGACACAATAGCGGTTTTCATCGAAACGTGTTATAAATTCTTTTTTCAGTGTTGTTTGGAACATGTTAACATTGTAGTTTGAAGAAATAATGACATTTTGCCCAAGATTAGAGTATTTGGGAAGTGTGGGAGAGTCATGCTTCGGTAGTTATGAAGCCGGCTTCTCCAGAATGATACCACGGCCTCACAGAATATTGGCGTGAAACAATTCTTTTTGTGCTTCAGGTGACCTGAGGCCCAAGGTCACGCCAATTGCTTACCATCATGTGATCTTTAAACGCATTTGCGTTAGATATCTTATTAAAAAAAATTGTCACAGAATCGTTAAATAATTTTGAGAGAGAATATTTATTTTGACGATTATATGTTAGATATTAGCTTTTGCCCGCGACGATTCGGCTGGAATAGTGACTTCCTGCAGATTTTGGTTTAAAAACTATCCTATGTTCTTTCTTGAGTTCCAAACTATGTCTGTAGCAAATTTCTCACAATAGCTTCAGTAGTTCATGCCTGAAGTAAAGACAGACTGACTGACACACTTACTTTTGCATTTATAATATTAGTTTGGGTGATATTTCATAAAAAAACTCCCACCGAGGTTGTTAAACAAATAAGATAACATTTCTCAAATTTCATACTGAATATGTATTAATGTCGTAGCCGACTACAGTTTACAAATTCTCTCGCAAACATAGCACTTTGTTTGTGTTCCACTTAGAACTTAACACTTCACAATGCAAACGGGTTACAAGCACGATGCACTGCGAACAATGTTCTTCGAACATAAATCAATAATAGTTCATTTATTATGAGACCGACAGCGATCGATAATCCACAAAAGACTTGTTTGTTACGCTTAACTAGAAAACTTTATACAAATTATTCCACAACGTCCCATCTCGGCCTTGATGAAATAAAAAAGGAATTAACAACAACGTGATTTACTAAGAACTCAGATTTTATATAAGAAAAGTGACTTCGGATTAGTTGAAAACGTTTTTAAAGGGTTTTCCTTTAGCCTGAATTCTTCTTTTTATGCTGAAAAATGTTTTGCCTGTTATCCGTCCATCTGCTTAAGTAACAACTACTATTTTATCAAAACAATTTCCCGCTATTTCGAATTATTTCCACCGATGTATCCAGAAATTTCATTGAACACCGAAATGAGTTTCATGCAATCCTTGGAACAGAAAGAAGTTAAATGAACCATGTCCGCTTCCTCATTAAATATGCATGTCTGCATTGCAATTTACATTTGTAATACGCTTGCCGGATCGAGGTGGCTTTACCATTCGTAGGTACATACTGAGTTGAGTTTTTCGTCACTCAAATTGGTGATTTATTATCGTATGTATTACCTTGTTTTTTATGGTATTGGTCGGCAAACAAGCAGACGGATTACCTGATGGTAAGCAATCGGCGCCACCCGTACAGACCCGCAACACCAAAGGAGTTATGAGTGCGTTGCCGGCTTTTTGGGGATAAGAATTTCGGAAATTTATGGATTGCGAAAGGATAGAGTTTGTTTCAAAATAGAACTATATTTTATATAATTAACTAATAAATATTTAAAATTAGAATCTAGATGTTTATTTTTTATTTTTAAGTTAAATAGAGAAAACGCATTCTAGTCCTTGTGCTTCACACAGGCGTTCACCAGAAACTAAATTAAATTATTATTTATAACTAACTTCCGCCCACGGCTTCGCCCACGTGGTATGTTGATTAAATGTAGCCTATGACCTATTCCGGAGTATATCCCTGTGACAAATTTCTTTTGCGATTGAGTTACAAACATCCAAACCAAATATCCAAACATCGTAACTTTTGCATTTATAATTTCGCATGTAAGATTGAAACGCGTGAGTATTGGCTATAAATCGAACGTAAACAAAAATAGTTTTGTATCAATATTTATTACAAATTCACGTCCAACTAGCTGACCGGTGTAAATGGGTCACATTATTGGATCAAGAGCAGTCTATTTGGAGTGCATACGAACACTCCGACATTGGACTTGCAGCATTGAATGAAATGAAGCGATGCGCTATTTGTTGATGCACTTTATTATTTATGGCCAACATTAAAATAGACTAATGTTGTTTGTTTTCGTTTATTGCCGTGGTGATTTTTTAATTGCCCCCTTAAAAACATATTAGGCGTCGTAAATTATATTCGAATTTTAAAAATGTTTCGTAAATAACAGGCCAGTAATAAAATTTATAGTATGAAACCCGTTTTCGGTAAAAAAAAAATAGTGTCGGAGAGCCATGCTTTGACACGAATAGGTGGGCTCGACCAGAATGAACCATGGCCTTACAGAAAACTGACGCGACTACACTGTTGTGTTTCGCCGTGTGAGCAAGGTAGCCCAGTCCTCTCAAAACCCTTTATCCAAAATATACATATACCTATATTCATTGCATTTGTAACTGTGTTTATTGCAGATGTCTATGGGCGGCACTGATTGCTTACCATCAGGCCGTCTAGTCGTTTGCCACCATGAAACAAAACAATGAAACAATGAATTTATTTTTGCAAATAGGCCATAAAACGGCACATTTACACGTCAATTTATATGTGAAAAACTAGATGAAGCCGTATCATCGTATCACATAAAGTAGAAAAACCAAGTGTTACTGAATAAAGAATAAAGCCTGCGAAAATACGATAATATCGGTCGATGTTAAATGTAAATTAAGCACATGAAGAGATCGGAAAAATCCGATTCACGAATATTGTATTAATAATCTCACCACGCCTCGCGAGGAAGACGTATAATTTAATGTTGGGAATCCTTTAATTCTCTTTTTGAGGCAGAATCATTGGTTGGATGATATTCTCAGAAATTTGGTTATTATTTTCCTAAACTAAATCTCTCTCTAATTTTTAGGATTATTTTTGGAGGAAACAAGTGCTTACTAAAACGAACGCCACGCCTAGAATTAGTAAAACCATTTGTTAGGTGCGGCCTAATTGTCTCCACGCGGTTCATTGGTAGTTTAAAGAGGAAACAGTAATTTGATTGTTTAACTTCATGGAAGGAGAGATATTTGGGAAAGAGTTTGTTTTAAAAAAGGCTGTTAAATATATTGTACTAACTTCTGGATAAAATTTGCTCGTACTTTTTATTATTGACTTGAGAATACAAGAATTTATACAAATTATATGAAAATAAGTAACCTTGTAAAAAAAAGACAGATAGTTGAATCTCCACAAGCACTGACCCTGACGTAGTGTCTCTGGTTATAGTTTTGAAGTCGTGTAAAAAACTTACACTACCCTTAATCCATTTTAGCGCATTTTTTTAAATTGTATCCTTACTAATCAAAATACCGGCATTCCATTACAATGAAACTAAATTTATAATTACAGCAATATTCTAAGTACGTTCCTACCACCCCTTTCGGCGAATCACAAACGTGTAATCATGCATAAACAAAACATGACATATGACACAAAACACTCGACATACGACTAAGCATTAAAACAAACAAACTCAATTACGTAACATGACGTCACTGTTCTATATTCTGTTTTCAAAAATCATAACCGTTAATAGAAACGTCAATCCGTTGGTATCGCGGCTTCACAGTCCAAGTGGGACTAGTCGTTTTATCGCATAGTGACCAGGCGATGGTCCGATTGTCCCCAGTCTGAATCAACAGGGTTAACTCAAAAGCTTTGTATTACGTAATACGATCTTTAGGCACGCTTATCTGTTGGGAGTTAAGATGAATGTATTTTGTCTTTTAGTTTTAGGTTCGGTCTTGTTGTTTTTGGCGGTTCGCTTTGGCAGTTTTACTCGTATTGTGGTGGGATTTAATATTTCGTTTATGAATAGTCGGTGTATTTGGTTATGTTTAAGTGATATCCATTATTATATCGTGGTCTTGAATTTTTATTTAACAGATTGTTTCTTTTTTTATTTCTAACTTTTCTTTGCCCTTTTTGTAGGGAAAATCATGTAATGTCTTCTCTCGCCTATAGTGAGGCGGGAGGAAGTATCAGACTGTAAAGAACTGACTAAAAGCCCCACCGTTGCTTTTCCTACTTTAAACCGTAGCCGCGGTAACTTATTGCGGTAACCCCAGCAACCTTTCTTACCCTGACGATAAGCTTCACTAAGATACTCGACGTATCTTCCGTTTGACCAATAAGAAGCTTTCATTTCGCGACTTCATCCCCCTCGCAATATGTCCACCCTTGGCTTATTCTAGACATATGTCAAATGCCACGATGCGGTCGTCACTATAAACACAGTAAATATGTTTCACCCAGGCGACTGTTCCGAATGAGTTGAAGGATTTACTCGAGCCATATTTTCATGTAAAATAGTTAGGCTC